ATTAATATATATATATTATATAATAAATATTATATATATATATATTATAATATTTATATTTATATAAATCTAATATTCGAAAGTAAAATGGTAACAAGAGCACAGGAAAAGCCAAAGACTTGTCAACATAATGTAGAAGATGCGTTAAGAGAACAGAGGAAATGGTAAGCGCTTAAAAACTCTAGATCCCACAACATATAAATAAGATCATGGTAAGAATTACTACAATGAGCAGCAGATAATAAGTATAACACACCATATATGTATATAATATATGTGTGTGTGTATATTATAACAAAAATAAACAAGAGACTACAAAAAAGGAGTAGAAAGGGAGTTATTAAGAAAAGACAGCTGTAATCATCTATTGGAATATGAAAGTACTTACGTATATGGATGAACTATCATAACAAAAGAAAATACCTTAAGTATTAGTTATTGGCCTGCAAAGGATAACCTTTACACCGCGGGTGCCTTCGACTTCGGAAAAGGGGAGATTCTGCCTGTAAGAACTCGGCGGCGGTTTGTTGTTGGGTGAGCCCATCGGGCAGCGAGTCTCAATCAATCAACTGGCACTATCCGATAAACACTCGCATTCCGAGAATTTACCAAAAATATGTAAGAGACGACACGCACTAGAGGTTAGATCCATGGGGCAGTTGCGAGAAAACATCATTCATACCTAAAGACATATAATTGTCTTGATAAAAGAATAATTGAGATGGTAGAGGAGATTCTGCTGTGGCTAACTCTACAGCCGGACAGGCCATGGGAACACATACTCCTCACTATGACGCTCATTTGTGTTTCTATACAATACCATGGTTTTCTCTTTCTGTGTATTAAATGCGCTAGTTTAGAGGGCTACATTTGATGCATTTTTACACTATAATTTAAGTTTATGAGACTGATCTGGATGTTGTATATGCTACTCAGTTATAATCCGAGCATAGCTTTGATACTTAACTTATGTAAGTATTATATAATAGATTATATTAGTAACATATGTATTTCTCAGACTGCTAGAAGCAGATTACTTATGATTTTATTGGAGGTGATAGATAGCTCAGAGGTTATTCCAGATCTGTAGTGTGCCTATTCCGCAAAAATGAGATAAGAAGGGGAGGATAGGTCATAACACTATAAATACAGAGGCAAAAGGAGGAAGAACGTCACATACACATCTCACACGTTTACTAGAGAAGGATAAATTGTTAGGCTCTCATATATACAAAAGAATACTTGTGAAGAGGAAAAACTATTGTGATAGGACCGCTCTAGAATATTTCCGGCATCACACGAAAAAAATGTAAGTGGTTTCGCTCATATTACCTTTCCGGAGATAAGAAGCTAAACACTACATCTCTAACACAGACTTCCGTATAATCAAAGGATTCACATGATAAAGAGGACGTTGTACTATACTCATTCTGGGAGACGGGACACTACGAATGAGAGGAGATGAGTAAGGGGCACATGGCATGCACCTTCACTAGACATAGAACGATCGGTCACATAGCGCGCACTCGAACTCGCTCACAGCTTAATGGTCCCACACGGCAGATACTATACGTGGGTAGAGAGAGCAAGGACATCGATGGTGAGGAGCTGGGTTCTTTCTTGGGCGCAGCTGCGGCAAGGGATGTCCCTGCGTGCCATGGCAGAGTAAGCCTGCTGGTTCAGGAGGGGAGGATACGGCGAGGAGGGGGTAAAGGCGTGAATGCTTTCTTTGGGGATGGATGATGTTGGAACCACCGAGTGAATTAGAGGACTGCACCGTTAGTGCAACCCCGATTCTGTGTTCAAGCTAAAATGACTAATGCACTTGGCCGGATGAGTATTTGAATCGGCGCTATAGTATCGTATCCTCAAGATGGATGTCAATATCGGTGTTTGCTGTAAGTGGTCTATAGACATAATCCGCCTCGCAGACATGGGAGATCCGAGAGGATAGGATGTGTAGATAGATAGATAGGTGGATGAATAGTGTAGAATTGTGTGTGTAGTGGATGATGTGTGATAGATGGGTAGATAGAATGTGCAGTCGTATGATAGTATGCGGCAGTGAACAATGTTTATAGTATTGGTGAGGGCAGCAAGCTGTCTGTATATAATGTGTTGTTAAGACCTTTAGAAAGCATAGAGTTAGAGAGAGAAGAATTGGTCGAGGGAGGTGCTCTTAGGTGTCCTCTCCAGCGCAGATACTTCTTAGACAGGATAGAATAATTAGACGCAAATCTAACTTACAATTCTTTTTTTTTATCTTTATTTGTTTTTTGTTGTTATAGGTCTGGGTTTCCTATGTCATATTTTTTCCCTTTCTCCACTCGTATTTTTTTTTCATACTTGTCGGTTGTTCGTCTACCTGGACTTATGTTTATTTGTGCCGCTTGACAAATCCGCGCTTTTGTGCCAGTTAATATGCTTTTGCGTGTATGGGAAGGTGTGATGTCGTGTTGCATACCCCCACAACCAGATTATTTGTTAAAAGGAATATAATACTAATATAATAACCAAAAAACAAAAAAACTGCGAAAAAAAAATAATATAATTAAAATAGGTAATATTCAGTGAACTGTTGAATGATCATCTCTTGCATTCTCGTGTGAAGTCCTCATTCGTGCTGTCAGTCGTAGAAGAACACTCCGTATTATACAGCAATGATCTACACTGAGAACATGGCTCACTGCCTTTTTATCTATGGGAGACCCTCGTATACTGGGGAAAAAACCGCTTCTTACCCTGTCTTGATTTGGTGGGAAATAATCTTTGTCCACTTGCCTTGCATACCCTTCTACATAACCATTTCGAAAACCTCACTCGCATTTTTTCTTATAAGAAACATTTTTTTATTTCTCTCAATCACTTTTCTCTAAATGTTTAACCCTTTTTCAGACCCCCTGTAAATATCTTTCGCCCGCCCTTATCACCCTTTTCTTTAACTGCAATACCTTTCTTACATATCCTCGCTCCATCATCTTCAAAGGAATTTGCTTTCTCAAATATACAGACTTACTCTCGCTCTAATCCTTGTTTTTAATTAATTTTACTTTTCCCAGCGACGTATTTACTATACAGTAAAATTCTCATTATACAATTAGTAGTAATATTATATATATCATTTTTGATGTCTCTATCTGAATTGCTAAACTCAATTTCTAACTTTTTCAATCACCATCACTACACTTTCATACTCATTCTACGCAACTTATTTCACTGATATCATAACAAAGACCTATTTCTCATCCGCCCCTTCCCTTCTCAACCTATATTTTCCCTAATCAACACATTTATTCTTACCCCCAATCCCCCTCCTCCCATATCACCTTTATCTTCCAGTCAATAATCTTTAATTCATTTCCCCTACTATTCTCTCTTACACACTCTTAATATTCCTAATTAAGTATTTTCTCTTATTCCACCCGTACTTCTCTAACCCACACTATCTTTATCTAAAATGAACCTTTTCCTTCTTCCTCTCTCTATTCACACTTCTTAATCGCAAATTTAGATAACTTTATTTCCATTTATTCACTATACCTCATCATCACTTCATTTATATATATTCCCATAGTTGAACCTTTTACCTTTTTCACTTGTGCTTTCAACATACTTCACTTATACTTCAAATTGAAACCTTTCACCCCCCCCCCCTCTCTCTTACACCACTCTTTCCAACTGAACCTCTTCCCTCCCGTCTCTCTCATACACTCTTTCCAATTGAACTTTTCCTTCTTCCTCTCTCAATACACTCTTTTTCCAACTGAACCTCTTTCCCCTCCCTCTCTCTCATACACTCTTTCCAATTGAACCTTTTCCCTTCTTCCCTCTCTCTCACACTCTTTCCAACTGAAACCTTTCCCTTCTTCCCTCTCTCTCACACTCTTTCCAATTGAACCTTTTCCCCTTCCTGTCTTTCACACTCTTTCCAATTGAACCTTTTCCCTTCTTCCCTCTCTCACACTCTTTCCAATTGAACCTTTTCCCCTCCCCTCTCTCTCACACACTCTTTCCAACTGAACCTCTTCCCTCCCCCTCTCTCTCATACACTCTTTCCAACTGAACCTCTTCCCCTCCCCCCTCCCTTTCACCCTTAACTCACGTATCCCGACACTTGGCGTTGATGTCCCTCTGCGCGCCCGCCCGGCAGCCGACCAGCCGCGTTTCCAGCACATTTCCTGGCGTGGCGTGAGGCAGGGGCGACCGACGCGAGCGGTGGTGAGTGCCCGTTGAGTTCGGAAGACCGGTCACTATCCGACGCACGCTGGAAGGCAAGGGAGGGCGTCAGGTCATCCTTTGGAAGGCAAGGAAGGTGGAAGGCAGGGCGTCAGGCGGCAGGGTACTAGGTGCAGGATTAGTTTTGTCAGTTGGGGTTTATTGTCATTTCTCTCTCTCTCTCTTTTCCTTCTCTCTCTCTCTCTCTCTCTTTTTCTCTCTCTCTTTTTCCCATTTCTCTCTCTTTCTTTTTCCTTCCTCTCTCTCTCTCTCTTTCACCATTCTCTCTCTCCCTCTCTTTCACCCATTTTCGCTCTCCCTCTTTTTCACCCATTCTCTCTCTTCTCTTCTTTCACCCATTTTCTCTCTCCCTCTCTTTCACCCGTTCTCTCTGTCTCTCTCATTCACCCATTTTCTCTCTTCCTTTCACCCATTCTCACTCTCTCTCCCTCAATCCATTATAAAACAAAAGCTGGACAATCACCCATTGAAGAAGTTATGCAGCTCGTGTCCAGCGGGCGCATGGAGGTTAGACAAGTGACCGGAGTTTATGTCGCCGCCCATGAGCGAGACTTGGGCGAGCAGCTTCGCTCTCCTCACGCCTAGGCCCGGGCCGAATGCACGCCCCTGAGGCTCTTCGTAGCTGTAGCCAGAGAGCGCCCTGGAGTCGGGCATGTCAAAGAGCTCGAAGGAGTTGTCATCATCGCCACCGGAGAAACCTTGGACTCCTCCGAAGGTCTCGTCTGAAGATGACGACGGGATGGTCCCCTGAGACACTCCAGGTTGCCCGCCGAACGGGAAATTGCCTGCTGAAGTGCCAATTCCTGGGTGACTGGCAAACGGTAGCGGAGCAGAGGTGGCTGATGCCCATTGCGGTGGCACAGAAGCTCCAGCATAGTGTCCGTCAACCCAGGACTGTGGACTGATTGATGCCTGACTGGGGCCCTGGGCTGGACCCACTTGGACAGCTGACTGCACGGAGGAGGGTCGCACTCCGCTGCCAACTGAGTGGACAGAAGGTTTCTGGAATCCTGGACTGACAGGTTGGCCGACTGAGTGGCTAAAACCACTTTGGCTTACTCCAGAACCGAATGAACTGTGGCTCCCAGTACCAGCTGGCCGACCAACTGAGGGCCGAACACCGGCTGAATGGATGCCCGAAGGTTGGAATGCAGTCTGTCCGCTTTGGCCAACTCCAGGACTGAACGAACCTTGACTCCCGGTGCCCGCTGAAGGACGGAAAGAGGCCTGGGAGCCTCCGGAGGGGGCTTGTGGCTGCTGAACTCCCACAGCAGATGGTGCCCCAAAGCTGCCAGGCCCAGCTGTTGACAACTGCCCACCAGATGTGATCCTTTGGCCGGTGGGAGATGGAGATCCAGCTCCTGTTTGGCTGCCGCTTTGGAAATCTAGACGTCCCGGGCCAGTTGGAGTGCTTCCCAACTGGCCTCCCTGAGCTCCATTGCCGTTAATCACATTGAGGCTCGGACTAGGAACCTGAGCCTGCCCACTCACCTGGGTAGGGCGCGAGGCACCACCTGACAGGCTTGGTGCACCTTGCACGCCTTGGGCACCTGGAGTACCCTGGATACCTTGAATGCCTTGAGTACCCTGGGTACCAAGGGCACCTGGAGCACCTGAGATACCTGGAGCACGTAGGACACCTGGGGCAGCTTGGGTACCTTGAGTACCTTGAGTGGCTGGGGCACCTTGGGCAACCGGGATGGGTGCCGTGGTATCCCTGGGAATGAAGGGACCGTACAGCTCAGTCAGGGCGGTCAGCGTCGCGGCGTCGAAGACCTGGTAGCCGGCGTCTTCCAAGGAGGCGCACACACCCTGCAGTTTCTCGAGGGCAATCGAGTACCAAGTTTGGGCTGGACACACTGAGGGATTCTGTTGAGGAGGACATTCATGAATAGTTCAGCCCGGTGCTAACAGGGTTCGGTCTGATATTAATGGAAGGAAAGTATGACATTAATATGAAAACCTACTCTCAATATATTCTGAACTTGAAATGACGAAAACTGGTTATAGATACTTATACTTCAGATTCGTAAAAGAAAAAAAATGCATTGCATATAGACATATTGACACATAACTCACCGATCTCAGCTAGTAGCAGCAGTTAACCTCCTAGAATAACCCTTTAACTGAATAACTCTCACAAGAATGACATTCAAGCCAGCCTAATTCACCATCACTCAGGAATAACTGCTAAGCCTTTCCAACTCATCGATCTCAACTGGTACCAAGTTACCTACAATTATACTCATGTGGGCGCCATGCCTATTTGTGCCCGTGTGGGTCCCTTATGGGCGATTCTAAACATATGCTCTGCATGGGCGCCAGTGTGTGTGCCCGCTAGTATAGTCCCACGCCAAGCACAGCAGACTTCCGGCTGTCGGGGTCAAATTTTAAGTGACCCAAGTTGACCTCTCACTCACACAGAGACAACCTGACCTCCGGACTGCGCGGACATCCCGCTCAACCCCTGCGCGGTGGCTGCCCTTGCCAGGGCTCGCTACCATGGTTACTATCATCACTGACCAGTCTCGTATCGTGTTTACTTCTACTCGTGTGTGCAACTCTTTCTCAAGAAAGAGTAAGCCTTTTAAATGATATTACTCTGCCTCACCAGTATTAATGTAGAAGGTAACAACCATTTACAGCCTCCCAACTCACCGATCCCAGCTGGTAGCACCTCCCGTCGGCGGCGGGGACGAAAGGGAGGTCATTGGGCCCGCGGTTGAGGTTGTCGCCGCCGCAGGGGTCGGGGAGGCACTCGGGGGGCTGGCTGAAGTCGCGGAACCAGAACACCTGCGGGAGGAAGCGGAGGATGAGGAACAGGAGGAAGGAGAGGGAGAGGAGATGAAGGATGAAGGGAAGGTGGAGGAGGAGGAAAAAGAACAAGATGAAGAAGATGAGAGGGAGAAGTAAGAAAAATGGAACAGGCGGAAGGAGAGGGAGAGGAGATGAAGGATAAAGACAAGGTGGAGGAGGAGGAAATAGAACAAGATAAAGAAGGAGAGAAGGAGAAGTAAGAAAAGGGACAGGAGGAGGAGGGAGAGAAGATGAAAGATGAAAGAGGAGGAGGAAGAAGGAGAGAAGGAGAAGTAAGAAAAGAGGCAGGAGGAACGGAACGAGCAGGGAGAGGAAATGAAGGATGAAGAGAAAGTGGAGGAGGAGGAAGGAGAACATGATGAAGAAGGAGAGAAGGAGAAGTAGAAAGGGGAAGGAGGACAGGACGAGGAGGGAGAGAAATGAAAGATGAAGATAAGAGGAGGAGAA